ATTCCCTCACATGTATTATGTCTTGCTTTTCTTGACCTTCATTCTTCTCTCCAGAGCATTCATCCACTTCATCAGGCTCTCCTTCACCTGCTTCCCACTCTCACTAAAGTTATAGGATGTCTACAGATGGCACTATAAATCCACTGTAGCCTAACTCAACATTAGCACTTCAAATACTAATTAAAGGGTGTTATACATGACAACATACTACATACTAGATGGTAGATTATCCTTGCAGACTAGTTACTTACATGTTTACTGTTGTCTCCAGTGCAGGTAGGACCACTGACTTCTTCCTTTGCATTATCCAAGGGGGTGCAAGGCTCTCCGTCTCCAGCTGATGCGCTCATACTGGACATACAAAGATCTAATTCACCAAACAACTCCGATTTAATAAACAAATAACATGTCCATGGCTTCGACAAGCCGTGGACCGTCTATACATCAGTCGAATAACGAATGAGGTAAGTCAACATGTTGGCAAAGTTAGTTAGCTTGACAAGCTAGCTCCTCGATAAAGAAACGCTGGCACGTAAAGCTGTAAAATGGAAGTTTCACTAGACTAATTAAACCTAAACGGGACGAAGGCGAACAGTTTTCATTGCTTTGTAAACGACTAATGTTTAGCTCTTAGCTCCGTGACTACTTACACAAGCCTGTAGCCTGCAGCCAGTCTATTGACAGAGCAGTCGCAAGCGCTAGCAATAAGCCAACAACAACTTCCTGTTTCAAGGCAAAAAGAGTTACAAAACTAATTTTATCAGTTGTTTCGAAGAATAAAACTTTTCAATAATAATAACATTTTTACATTTACATTTTAAAGCTATAACTTTAGATATTTGTTTTAGTAAAGGAAAAATATTTTATCTGAAACGATTTATTGTGAAAAATAGATGAACCGGAAGTGTTTTCATAAGTTCTTTCTAGAAAAGTGGAGCATATTCTTCTGATACCTTTTATTCTGAAATTCACTGTTCACATCATTGTTTTAATTTAACGTGAGCTTTGCATGTGGTGTGATTTTTCTCTTTTTAAACAATTTGATTCAGTCCAAGGGACGCAAACAATTCCAGTGCACTTCTGTTCAGGTCTTTAGCTGTTAAAAACCTGTAAAAGGTTGTGATACTTTTTTAAATATGTAAAAAAGCATCACAAACAAAAGCATTTAGGTTCAGGGATATTTTTTTATAAATTATGAGATGATAAGTCATGAAAATATTAGCAGTGGAGGGACAATTTAAGCATATAAATAATTATTATATTCGAGTACTAATGTTTCTCCTGTCCATAATATAATATAATATAATATAATATAATATAATATAATATAATAGGGATCCTTGTGAGAATGTCTAGCCAGTAGTGGAATGTCAAGCTGATGAGTGAAAAGGGAGGAGCTGTGAAACTTTGCTGAGTGCATTTAATTCCTGCGTGGACGACACAGACTTCATGTGAGGGCTGAAGACGCTGTAATCCAGCTGCTTTAGTATAGTCTATACTGGATGCGCAAACGTGACAGGTTTTTCCTTAAAGTGTCCATTATAATGGAAAGTTGGAAGAATCACGTGCGCCAAGGGCTGCAGCATAGAGACCACAGAGAAAAACTCCCGTTTGTTGGCGTTTTCACAAGCTGTAAGATTAACTTTTCTCTGCCTCTCTCGATGTTGTCCTCTCTATCAGAGCCTAAGGACGTCTGCCTGTTTTCTTTTAGTGTCTCAGCTGGAGGAACGCTTTGAACTTCGCGACGAGATTTTGGCTGATGTTCAGTCTCAGAGGTTAGAAATGCAGAATTTAACTTACCCTACATCTGGCGCTTGCGCTGATCGGTTTGTCCTCTGCTTGATTTTTTTTTGTAAAGTATTTTAAATTTGCACACTTGTTTTTATTTTCAGTTTAGAAACACATGGAGTTGAGGTTGGGGGAAACACCACACTGCTTCGACTCCGGCTGAAAGAGAGTGAGCACCTGGCAGATAAGGTGGGTTAAATGAGGAGTAATCCAATGATTAAACGCCCCAGCGGCTCAAACTTTCTACTACAGGAAAGACGTTTACGTATAATGCAGAGCAGCATATTTGCATTGATATGCAGGAACACCACATCTGACAATCTGAAACAACTTTTAGAGCATTTGAACTTTTAAAAAATGAATAAATAAATAAACATTCATTATTGCAACTGGTTCAGAGGAGTGGAGAAAATACTTTAATAATCATCTTTAATGGGTGTGTGCTGTTGTCTGCTTTTGAACTGGGTCACTTCACCCTTTGTTTTGCCTACCCAGTTATCTCAAACTGTCTCCGACCTTACCACCGTCCTCCATCTCAAAGAAGCTGAACTACAGTACTGGCAATCACGGTAATTCAAATACCTTGGTTAGTACTGACTATGATTCCAAGATTAAAAAAACACACTAGGTGACGCAGACAATGTAAAAGCAACGCATGATGGACCAGATTGAGGAAAGTGTTAATTCCCGGTATATTTCAGCTCTAGTAAAGGTATTTTTCAAATTGAGTTTCCCCATAATTAGTCAATATGTTGCTGATTAATCCTAGAGTAGTAAACAGTTAATTTGGTCATATAATAAACTTATTTTATATTCGTAGAAATACTGAACCACTGAAATAAAGACGTATAATTTTCCAGGTTAGGCCGATTGTTGGAATTTTGTATTGAGAATATAAGGGATCAGTTCGTCACCATTATAATACTTTGCTGTTACAGTGTGTCTCAGTTCCATCAAGAGGCACTTACTCTGGCTAAAGGGAGTAACACCCTGAAGGAAGCCCTTTCAGAATATGAGTTCACCATAGAGTGTCAGTCCAAAGAGTTAGCAGCCCTGCGTGTGGATCAGCAGTGCCTAAAGGAAGCTCTTGCAGATGCACTGAGAGAGAAAGAACGGCTATTACAGCGATGGATGGAGGAGAAAATAGAGGAAGCGGACAGGTTGAATAATTACAACGTCACTCAGGCAAGGTGAGATAATGAGTTCAGGAGTTGCAAAGCTCAAAAATTTAAATATGTTAACTTTATATGATAGCATGATCACACTTTAAAGCTTAAAAGTTGTCTGGGACTGCTCCCTTTTACCAGGTGGCAACATTTGACCAAACGTCTGAGGAAGCACCTCCAGAAAGGTGTGGGGAAAGAGCGTGAGCCCACGCTGACCAACGCTTCAAGTGATGCAGCACAGTCTACATCAGCCATTCAGAGTAAGAATCTGCATATAGATATTAACACACATTAGATGCAAACAAATGGCTCACTTTTAGGCCATCCTTTTTGCTCTTTAAATTAAGAAGCTGTAGATCGTAGGTTAAAGACAAGTGTGTCTTAGTGGTGAGCTGGTAATATGATACACAAAAGGCTAATGAAAAAATGAGACAATAGTGCAAAATTATATTTTTTTGTTTGTTTGCTTTCAAACCATCTAACTAGATAGCAGTGGCAACTTCATAAGAGTTACAGTACATGAAGTACTGAATATGAACTCTTGGACCCAGCTACCAATAAAACCTAATGGTAGTTAAGAATTTAATAGGAAATTCATGTGCAACCACTTTGATATAATGCTATTTTTGAGCAAGATTTTTTTTCCCAATTCAATTTATTTATATAGCACTCTTCACAACATAAAAACTGCAAAGATATACATATACAATCAAACATTCAGCACAAATCTAATTAAAAGCCAGTCTAAATAAATGAGTCTTAAGCTGCTTTTTAAAAGAATAAATACAATCAATGCAACGTAATGATGGAGGGAGAGCATTCCACAACCTGGAGGCCACCGCTCTAAAAGATCTCTCTCCTCTGGTCTTAAAACGTGTTCGTGGGACTAGCAGCAGCCTTTGATTAGATGATCTCAGGCTGCGAGAGGGAGCGTGGGGTTCTAACAGATCAGAAATGTAGGCAGGGGCATCACAATTCAAAGCTTTAAAAGTCAGTACCAAGATTTTAAAATGAATTCTAAAATGTATGAATGTTGCAATAATAGCAAATGCATCAAAGTCTTTTTTTTTTCTTTTTTTCTTTTTTTTACAGTTTCACCACTTTATTCTACAGCTCAAGACCTTTTAATTTAATGTTTGGTCAAAAGAATCAGTGGTAATTGTTTTGTGTCTGCCTATCTTGTCCTCAGGGATCAATATTCCAACAGATATGCACAGTGGACTCCCAGACCAGTGTCATATCTCGGGTCCACCACAGGCCTAATATTCCCTTCAGATCCCAGGGAGAACACTTTTTTTCTCCCCAGTGCTTATAGATGAAATGATGACATAAATAATGAAAATGTAGGTTTTTTTTCTTTGCAAATGTTAGGACAAATTGCTCACATGGATCTATTTTATTTTTATTATTTATCTAAAAATATATTTAAAGATCCACTATACTATGCAAATTTGTTTGTGACTTATAGTTAGAATGCCTAGTTTCACATCACAAGTCACCCTGAAGTTTAGCTGATCACATGTGGACATTGTCTTCATGATCAATGCATCAAACCCTTCCGGTTCTACGATTATTATTCTTTTAAACAGTTAACCTTTGAAACAACTTCATATAGTTTTCAGTTGGTTTTTTTTTTAACATTTTAATTACTGTTCAACAAATTAAACATTTAATAATTTTGAAAAATCAAGCTCAGTGTTAGTTTACTGTACACTCTTGTATGTAATTATGTGTTACTGTCTTCTTTATCACCTGTAAAAAAAAATAAATAAAATAAAATAAAGAGACTTTTATGCCTTTAAAAAAAAAAAACCCTCTCCTGAACAAAGACTATCATTTTAAACATTGCATGTTGTATTCCTTAATTGATTAAATATTAAATACTAAGAATTTCATTGTGGTGTATTTCTCATTCTGTTTGATCACAAATCTGAAATATTTCAAAATGTTTTGGGGTTGTTTTTTGTTTTGTTTTAATCATCAGAATTCAGTTTCTGATCTCTAGGATCGGATTGCAGTTTGTTTGCTGCCTGTTTCCATGGTCACCAGTGTTGGCATTAGTAGTTAAGTTGCACAGTGTGTGGAGTGCGTGTTGGGTTTTACTGATTGTGGTCTAAACACCTCAAGCTGTAGTGGAAAAATGGTAAAAGGTGGAAAGCGGCATTTTTCAGTGAGCACTGATTGCAAATGGGTAAGAAGTCTTAATTTCATTGGTTTAATTAAATTGTAGCATTCTAAACCTAGATGTGTAATTAGGTTTTCTTTCATTTCGTTCCCAGTTTGCTCATCCAGGTTTATCAGAAAATGAGACAAAGACTGGAGAGAACTGTACAAGCACTGGGATCATGCTGACTCAAGTGAAGTCATCGTTGCCTCAGGCTTTAAACTTTCAACGCTATCCCAAATGGAAAAGTCAGCAGGTGTGTATGTAGATAAGGCATGGCCTTACTGCTTTTGATATCATAGTCACTGCCAGTGGCCTTTTTTATTTTTCTTGGACTTGCTATCACAGTTCTGTATTTAGTTGCTCTCCCAGTATGAGTTTTATGGGTTAACTTGCAGAAATCCAGAGAGTATCCCTTCTCAGACCATGACAACAAGCACGCCTTAAAAGACGACGTCATTGTATTCTCTCAAGTAAGTATGTAGTGAAAGGTTCAAAGTTTTGCTGAACACAAGATTCACCACATTATACTTTTAAAAGGGGACCGTGTATATTCTATGTTGATGTACTTCAGAGTGTGGGAAGGAGGAGGTGTCTTGATGATCGCAGACAGCATATCTCCCGTTTCTGCCTGTGCCATGGTGGAACTGACAATAGCACCAAAGAGTCTCGAGGGAACGCCACAGCCTACCAGAGTGACTTCATAGTGAAGGAGGTTGTTGACTCTGCATCCAGAAACCGCCGCTTCCCTCACAACCACAGGCAGAAGTCTGCAGAGGCAGCTTTGGCACAGGCGGGGGAGACGTTTATGTGGTTCGGACGAGACGATTCTGACCAGTCTGACACCCTGCAAGTGCTGGCAGCTACCAACTGCTCAACACCATCCAAGCCTTAAGATATTCTTACATTTAATGCCCAGATGGCATCATTAGGGGGCCATAGCATGCACAGAGCTTCCTTCACTTGCATATGAGCTGTAATCCATTAAAAATTGTAAACTTGGAACCAAGATTTATCCCACAGCATACTCAATATCAAATGTTCCAAGATTGGAAAAAGCATTAACATAGTTTAAGTAACATTTATTGCATAGAAACTATGCAAAGTGATTACTTTCAAAGTTTAGAACCTGCAAAAACTACTTCAATACTTTTGCTAGTACTTAAGTGATTTTATCTCTGTATTTCTAACATTGTAAGGCTGGTGATAAAATGATCAGAATCAACGGCAGGTACTTTTTGTATAATATATATATAATATAATATATAATATAGCAATGTAGCACAATGTTATTTGAACTCAAGTTAGCATAAGCCGAGTTAACGTAGCTATGGATGCATCTGAACATCAGTGTGCGCAGGCCTGATTTGAGTGCCACTATTAGTCCACGTGAGGACTGTTGGTGGTTCACAGTTTTGCCAGCAGAGGGCAGCAGGTCTACATGAGCCACTTGGCCTGCCTAGCCAGTGAGTTGTTCAAGGGCCAAGTTATATGAAAAATGTAATAGCCACAAAACCCCTGTGTAATATGCATGTTCTGTGAGAGAAAATGTGGGAGGGGGGGGGAGGAATAATTAGAAAAATGATCCTGCTATTTTTATTCAATACATATCAACATGGAGATATTCAATTAGAGCATGCGAAATAAATTAAGCTTGATTTGAGTCATAATGCATGGGCTTGTTTCACCCCAGGGGATGAAAAGGATGGATATGTGTGTGTGCAGCCCATAAAGAGAGAGGAGGAAGCGTGGGAGCCAATGACAGAGAGCACTGCTCAGAGAAAAGCACTTAAGTGAAGAGTGTCCCCGACCACTCTCTCCAATAGCTGATGTTTTCTCCAGAGCATGCTCTGACCAGCTGCTTTCTTTCTTTAAATACTCACCGGGGAGATGGATTTTTCTCACAAGCTTTCTTTCAGCTGTTGTAATTAGCTGATCCACATACCACGCTGACCTTGTAGGCGTTTGTTTCACTTTTAAAAGGTGAAGCAGACCTCAGTCTTTTCTCAGACAAGATGGCTGAGAGATGTTTGTGTGAAACTGTGGGCCTTTTGCGATTTCACTTTGAGATTATCTGGCACATCGCCGTCAGAAAAAACGATCCCCTGATGCAGGTGCACAATTAGGAGGGGGATGTATGATGAGGAGATTACTTTTGATGGTTTCCAGGTCTGTTTTAACCCTATTTCTGCCATGTCACTGAGACAACAGCGTGGAGCATTTTGCTATTTTGCCTAAACTATTGTCAAACCTTTTGTGAAGGCCAGCAGTGTTGCTGATGAGAGAGAAAGAAGCGCTTATTAAGGAAAAACACCTGTGCTCTGGTTTGACAGTTGGTTGTGCCTGGTTGTCTGGCACCTCTGTCCCTGTGGGTGCATTTCGCAGACTGCACTTTTCTTTGGATTTGCCACAACTTGAACAACTCCTCCGCACAGAAGCCACCAACACTTCAAAATCAGAAAGTCTCATTAGCTCTGTCAGAAGAGCAGTAAGGCTTTTAATTCTCGACAGAAGAGTGAGAACGCTGAAATAACATGCCAATCATTAGTCGCGTCCGGCCGTGCGTACTGTATGTGCCATGTTTAGTGTGTTACTGCATGCCTGTTACATCACGTAGCCGGCAAGTATATGTAAATACAGTTGCATGGTAGAAAATCAGTCCTTCTCCCAAGGACAAAAGGCACATCTCAGTAAACAAGCATTCAACCACCAAAGCCTTGCACTTCATGAATATTAAATCAGTCACTTTGAATCCTACCTCTTTGGTGTTGGTGGAGGCCCTTGTCTGGATTCTTACCATTTGCTGTGATTTATTCACAGGTGCATGTGTCTCTTTGATGTGTTGAGTTGAGAGGTTTTGCACCTGTTAGAGAAAAAAATGCTTTGAAAACAAGAGGTGGATTTGCCAGACAGTCAAAATAACAGCAACAGAAGGAAGATTTGTGTTGCCATGGTACATTGTTTGCGTGTATGCGTGTGTGCTTGTGTGTTTTCTTTTCAAAAAAGGCTGCTGCGCTGTTTTGACACATTCTGTTGTGTGCAGCAAAATTGGTTTTTGTCAAACAAGATCTACCTTCCTTTTTTTGTAAATCCCACATCAGTTTTGGCATCCGTTCTGACATTATGAAGTTGTGCATTTTTCATTTTGTGCATTACCTATTCATTAAAGATGTAACTTGAAAGAGAGTTGCTATGGAGATGCTGCGGTTAAATCGCATATCTCAAAGATTTTTTATTTCTGTTTATTCTTTTGCCAATTATGACTATGTCTAGCTATCTTGACTTCTTTAGATTTTTCACCCCACTTTCAAAATCTTTTTTGATACGATGTCAAGGCTCACAGTAGGACTTTTCCTTATGCCTAACACTTAATCTTATTCAAACACTCAGCACACAGTCTAAACAGTAACTATAGAGTCCAAAAGTCTTTCGAATTGGCTGGGTTAAACTACACTCAAACTTTAAGACTCCTTCCAATCTCCTGTCAGTCATTTCTCTTGCAGTGCTTCCAATTCCCTGGCAGTGTTATTTTTTCAGCAGCCAGTTGGTTGGTGTCCCCTGGCAGCCTTAGTGGTCCTTGTTGCAGTAACGGTCAGGGGCCCTCCTGAGTCTGAGGGTGGTGATAAAGGTGGCTGGCTATCTCATTTCCACAGAGGACTAGATAACATCCTGAGAACATTCCCATCACTTGAGGAGTTTGTTCAGTTGAGATAAGAGTTCCCCTGCTAAAACCCAGCTGGGAAGCTCTGTGTTTGCTTGAGTATGTGTGTCTTTGCACTGTGCATGTGTGCCTTAACAGAGTACTTTGGAGCATGTTAGCTGCAGTTCTTTTCTGTGCTGCAGCTGTGAGGTCCGCCAGGCTCCGATCGAGACGCTGCCTCAAAAGATCAGGCCTATCCTTGCATTAAATCACATTCCCCCATGCATTTTTCAAACCTCCGACAAGGCTTGCATGTTAATTTGTGCGTAGGTGGTGAGAATAATTACATTAGCCTGGTTGTAAACAAAGACCTACAAGCAGCAGTCTGTTCAAGTATCCCACCAGAGAAAGAACAAGCAAGTAGTTTATACAAGGATGGATGAATTTATAATGCATGCTTTACATGAAGGCATCCATAGCTGTTGTATCTGTAATTAAATAGCAACATGAAGAAAAATGAGCTGTTTTTCAAGCAAAATAAGCCTTATGCATTCTTGATTTTGTCTTTTGTTATATATTTAGAATAAGGGGAAACAATGCTCAAACCACAGAGGATAGTTTTCTTCAGAAACACACTTTTATAGCCTCAAAAGCTTTGACTCGATTGCTGCATGTGCACAATGTTACCAAGTGTTTCATCACTGCTTAAGAAGCTCCACCTCTTAGTTCCACCACACTGCTCCTTCATAACCACATTTTAATCTCATTAGTAAAAGGCATAATGCAATGTACAGAACCAGAGATAGGCCACACACACACATCCAAGAGTGCTTATGCAGTGTTTCATACTTGAACAAAAGGGGGTCATTCATACAGGAAGCTGATCAAAAATATGTCAACAAGTGAAGGCTGCCTCAGTCTTCTCATAGGAAGAGCAAAGTGACACAGCTAAAATACGGAGATTCTATTTTCTGCTCCGACAGAGAGCCTGTGTAGCTTCCTGCTTTCAGCCCCGCTGCATACTGTATGTAACTGTTTATATAGTCAGCCCTGAAAACTGCTTCAACATCTCATAATCACAGCATTCTATTTCCTGCTACAGACCTCACAACAAGTCTAATTAGCCGTTTTCACACTTGTTTTCCAGTCAAACGGGTAAATCTGCCTCATTTGCATTCTATTGAAGGCATAAATATGAGGCAATGAAGGCATTCTTGTGTCCTTTAACGGATATGACAGAAGCCTTAATGCAGAGAAATATAATTAGATGTAAGTGTGGCCATTGTTATTATCATGAGACTTTGTGCCGTCTAAAAAGCACAAACTGCTTCACTGTGTGTCTACTAAGTGTACAATGGCATATTCCTATGAACCTGACATTATTATCAAATGTAAATTACACTGCCATGAGCCGCTCATTACAATGTGTGGAATGTGTCACAAGTTGTTAAAATCTCAATTTAACATGATCTCCACATTTTAGCTGTGGATAAAGTCTTCTAGTGGTGAAGTTGAACTTAAATTAAATGCACTTCTCCTCCTTGGGAAGGACGAAAGATGTAAATGATGTAGCCAGTGTAAAAGTAGCGGAGTTATGCACACTGATTTATACAAGGTTATTTTTGAATAGCAACATATTGGATGCATGGACTGAATGAATAAAGATCTTCACAGTTTATGTTGATATTAGAAGACTGTAAATCAAAAGAGCCAAGTATTATAGTACGCACACAGCATCAAGAGCCAGTAAAAGGAAATGCTATGCAATAAGGTGATTTAAGCATGAGAGACTGAGTCAAGGTTGCAGTGAAATATTCATTCAAATGAGGTAAAGAGTGAAGCAGCATAAGAATAACCCGCCTTTAAAGATTAACATAACCCTTGGAGGTGTTATTGTATCCCCATAACCAAGTCAGAATTCAGCAGGTGCAGAACAGCTCTCCCTCTCTGTGAGTTACTGCATTAAGTCCTTCAAATTTAGTAGCACAATCATGAGCCTCCCGTTCACTCTCTGGAGTAGAAGAATCGCTTTGCATTTTAAAAAGGTCAAACACTCAGATCTCTGCCAGGAGGAACTGAGGGAAGAAATAATGTCTCTCTGCAGAAATATGCAGTCGCACACCACTGATCCTCTCCAATACCCACTGTACAGTGAATAGATTATAACTCTCTCTCTCTCTCTCTCTCTGTGTGTGTGTGTGTGTTGACTGACATCCTCTAACAACTACTGTATAAACAAAAGCAAATCATAATATTGTATCAAACCAAATGTGGTGAATATTTCAATAATGTGGAAGATAGCACTGATCAATTTTTCTACAATTAGACAGACATATTCAATTATTATCAATATATAAATAGTGCA